GTCGCGGCCAGGATACCGTAAGCCGCGTCCGTCGCCGCATCCGCCAGCTTCTTCTGGATCAGTTGGTACTTCGCCAACGGGTTGCCCTTGAACTGCTTCCTTTCCAGGGCATACGTCCGGGCCCGGTCCAAGCAGTCCTCAAGGGCACCCATGGCGCCAAAGGCGATGCCCAGGCGAGCACTGTTAAGACATGTGAAAGGACCCGCAAGGCCCTGTACCTCCGGGAACATGTTCTCCGCAGGGACAGGACAGTCGTCCATCTGGATCATGCCCGTGATCGAGGCACGCAGAGCGGTCTTGTTCTTGATGGCGGGGGTTTCCAGCGTGCCAGGAGGGCATTGGCTGCGCTCGACGACAAAACCCCGGATTTTGCCCGTGGTCTGCAGCTTAGCCCAGACAACCATGATGTCCGAGATCGGGGAGTTGGTGATCCAGGTCTTGGTACCAGATAACAAGTAATATCCCTTCTTAGTGGGATGCTCCCGTGCCACTGTTTCCATTGAGCCCGGGTCGGAGCCGTGGTTGGGTTCGGTGAGGCCAAAGCAGCCTGCCAACTTGCCCTTCGCCAGCTCAGGGAGGAGGCGATCCTTGAGCTCTTGCGTACCGAAGTCATGAATGGCTGTCATTGCCAGAGAGCTCTGTACCGACATCCCTGAGCGGTATCCCGAATCCACGCGCTCAACTTCCTTGGTGATCAATCCAGATGCCACGGTGCTGGCTCCCGCGCATCCGTATCCTTCGATGCTGGCGCCGAGAAGGCCGAGCTCGCCCATTTCCTCGAGAATCTTGCGGTCGTAGTCTTCATTCCGGTAGGCATCTAATCGGAGCACCAAGATCAGTCACAATCGCATCCCATACAATGCTACCACTGACTAGGATCACCTACCGAGAACACGAGGCAGCAGACGTTCCTGGCAGTACTGCCGGGCGGTATCTTGAATTGCCAACTCCTCCTCAGTATACAATTCGGATGCAACCAGAGGGTCTTCCCAGTCAAAAGTCGCATATCCACGTTTGGACTTGGCGAGTGAAGCGGCAGTGGCAGGTGCTGCGTATAGGCGGTTCGCCGCCCGGAGGTGGCGCGAGGCCGTGCGGAGAACGAACGGGTTCATCTTCGAGAAGAAATCCGATGGGAAGGAAAAGTGTGGAACTTGGAAGAGCAGTCGATGCAAATGGTCTATCACCCGGATACTCAATTGATCAGTTTAATTATGGTCGAAGAAGAGACGTGGGAGTGCATCGACGTCACCAAGGGGTGAGGGGAAAGGAGGAATCTCTCTTACTGAGCTGGAAGAAGCGTTCAAGGTTGCGGGGAGACGGCACTCAAAACGCAGCCTCGGTAAATCCCGTCGGAAGCGTTGTTTGTACTGTACTAAATACTCAAGGAGCACGGAAGAGCACAATGACCCAACAACCTGAATAGACTGGAAGAAGATAGAGAACGCCGGGCTGGACAGGGGCCAATGCTCCCTGTTTTAAACGGTACCTTTCTTGGAAGAGAAGAATATGGTTGAACCTCGAACCGATCGAGCCGCGGAGGAGTTGAAATGCAGCGAACGGAGACTTCGGCTTGCCTTCCGTCCCCGTCGGCCCTTTCATCCAATCGATAAGCTCTCCCAGAACACTGATAGGGAAGACCTGCCTAAAGCCGTGAGTACGTACAGTACTGCGAAGTTTGCCTGTGTTTATGAGTACCGTAGGTAGGTATGCAGCACCTCATAGATTACGTCTTTACGTCTTCTGCTATATAGGGTAGATTCCTATTTCAAGTGGCACCCCATTCTCACATCCTGGTAAACCCCCACAACTCACCAGACTCAACATAGTAACATATATTCGTAGTCATTGCATGCGTCCTGCGCAATTCGTCTCCTGTCGTTATCGTTATGCTCTATGTATATAACATCTTTAAGCAGGCATCTGAGACTGAAGAAAATCGAAGACTCCGGTTGGGAAATACTCCTCGTCAAACCCCCACAAATCAGCCATCATCGGATCGACCGAGCCCTCCCAAAGTCCAACGTCTGGCTTCTCATTCCCGGGATTGGACTCGGAATTACTTCCTCTCTCTGCTGAGAGTGGTGCTACCCCCAACAAGGCCGGTGGGTGGTTGAGGATCGATTCCCGTCCACCCAGAGTTTGCGATCCAGGGACGACAACAGGTTTGGACAAAGAGGTATTATCCTGAGGGGTTTGTCCCAAGGACAGGGTGCTATTGCTGGTTCGCTTCTCCCACTCCTCCAAGCCTGTAAGCATCTTCTTTAAGCCACGGGCAATGTGATGACTAAGATGGTGCTCACTGGCGCGTTTGCTGCACGAGACCATCATGTCAATGATCCGGCTAACCAGCGCACGAACATACCCGACCTCGATGAGCAAGCCGGCCGATGCGATGGAATTTTGCTGGCCCGTAGTCCCCGTCGCACCACTTGAGCAGCCTTTCGCAGCGATTTTCAACAAAAATACAGCCGCGAAAGTGATCATACTGTGAAGGTAGAGCGGAACCCCCACCAGAGCCCGTTCGATGTCGGGCTCATCAAGGACGACCCGAAGCGTGTCAATAGCTGATCGTATTGCTATACTTGCTCGGTGCTTCCGCTCATTGGACATGGGCCGCGTAGAGCTGGACGAATGATAGGTTCGCAGAGCGACCGAATTGAGCTGCAAGCGAGAGAAGTGGTAGTGTAGATAGACCGCTTTGTAGGGATACTTTCCGACATATCGACTCCCCACTTTGTTGTCTGGATTAGCGCATTGTGTCAACGAGTATCGACAGCAGCGACATACCTAAGCGAGGGATCCAGGACGATTGCCAGTCCGCAAGAGCAGCATCGAGCTTATCAATCTCGGAGAATTGGCTATCAGGAACCTCCAAGTCAACGTCAGGACCAAAGGCATGGTAAATGTGGGTGAGGATGATGAACAAATCAACCTGACTATGCAGGCGCAAATCCCCTTGTTGCGTGTTCGGAGATTGTATGAAAATATTGTGGTTCTTGATGCTCAAGTCTTCGTGTATGATGGGAGGCCGCCCATAGGCGATGGAAAAATGATGTTCTAGGGTCTAAGGAGGTCAGTGCTAAGATTCAACTCATGGTCGGTGCCAGGCACCCAAGAACTCCACCACATACATATAAGAGATACCACAACCGTGCTTGCTCTACATGTTTCGGCGAGCCTTGTGTGGCTTTTCTATACGATTGATGCAGGTTGTGCTCCGTTGCTATGCGAACGGCATATCCAGAAAGCTTCCAGCTCACGTCGGCAAGCCAAAAGGCCCCTATACAGAGGGCGCGTAGATCATCCAACGTATGATGTCGATCTAACATAGATTCCGATGCTAGTTTAGCGAATTCGGTGTAGCAGATTTCATACACCCGCTCTTTGCTCGGCATATGAAGAGCTGTCACGGCAAGGATGGCAGCAGAGAGCATTGAGGAAGAATTGCGCACTGAGGTTAGATCCTTGTGATTCAGCAATATACCATCCCATAAGTAGCGACTGAGTACTTGATCAAAATGAGAAAATAGTTCCTCTGCTTCTTGTTTGTCCACGACTCCCCCTGATATGAAATCTGTGACAAGGGCCCGGTCCGATGCATGGTGTCTCCCAGGAGACGTGGTTTGAATGTCGCTCAGCTGAGTCACCTCGTACAAGCTTCCCATAGGAGCAGTGACTAGGGATGATGCTCCGTTCTCTTCTCTGTCGAGGGAATACTGCGGCGGTCGGTGAGTGGTAGTGCTAGGTGCACTATTCTCAGTCATTGCGGTGTGCGCAGGCTCAGTGGGTTTTGTTCCCCCGCTATGGTTGCTTGTCGGGAACAGCGCGTCTTCTATAGATACCATAGAGTCGTTGCGATCCCTCGTCTTCGACGACGGTTCAGCTGACTTGCTGATCGCTTGGTAGTAGGATAGTTCGGGGAGTCGAGCTTTGCGAAGCAGGTCCGCCATCGCAAGTTCCATCGCTGCCTTCCATCTGTACGTGATACACATATTAATCAGCGACTTGATGTGCTTCAAAGCCGTAGGGGAGGCAGGAGGGAGCAAATACTCTGTCTCATCGTCTAGCAATGTTTGAAGACTTTTGTTGACCACACATTCTAATCCCATCCGGCGACATCGATGACATGCCGTCTCCCCCTCATTCATGTCACATCGCACCTTATGCCGCTTGCACTCTGTGCAAGCGCGTATTCGGCGCGAGATCTTGGGGACATGCTTTGGACTCTGCCGTGCGTCGTGTTCGGGGGTGCGGTGGGCTGCCATATCCTGAGGGGAGATAGCTGACGGACTATCTCCATTGGCCTCGAAAAGGTGACGACTTCGCTTCATGGCGGCAACGGATTCATCGTCTTCAAAACAATCAATTAAATCAAAAACGCGCAATCAAGTGTCAAGTGAGCATATGGCTGGTTGCGATGCGAATGGATTCACAGCCACTACTGCGATAAGATTCAAGGCGGAGAAGGGAAGAGGGGCTTGCCGCTTGGCATGGCAGCTTTGGATCGGCAATAAGTACGGGGGTTAGCGGCGTACGGAAGTACAATAAGTACGGAGAGAGAGGGGAAAGGGGTTCCTAAGGTTGTGTGTTTGCGTGAGCTGTACAGCAGCAGTGGCACCAGCAATAATAATGGCAGGCAAGTGTCAGTCTGGCACGGGGCACAGCACAAGTCAATCAACCACTGCTCATTGATATTTCATTCCGAGGCCTACCTAGTCTACTAATAGTCTAGTAGTCTAGGCCGGCCGTGGGGCCTGGCTTATGTAAGAGAACTCCGGGGACGGGTAATTGCCCGAGTCTCCGCTCTAGTCCCAATTAGGTCTAATTATGACGCACGGCGCGTTCAACCTCTCCCAGACCGCGTTTTTTTGTCGCGGCCCGCAAGAACTGCCCTCCTTCTGCTTCATCCTACTTATTCTCCTCCCTGCTCGCCAGGCAAAGCTCGTCGCATAACATATCCATAGTCTCTTCCGAGTATACCCAGATCCGGATCATCCAACATGGGCATTAAAAGTGAGTCACGCTAACTACCACCTTGCCAATTCCGAATCGACAATTGTACACCCACATGAGCTCAGCAATGCTAATCTCCGCCACCATCAGACCTCTTTTCGGTAATCTCGGAAGAAGCCCCTGATGCCGTAAAGACGGGAGAGATCAAAAACCACTTCGGACGCAAGGTCGCTATAGTATGTCCAGTCCCCAATTGAATCCGTGCTTTTGTTAGTTAGCTAGCTGCATCTGTGCTTCTAAGCAGGGCTAACCACTATCCTATATCGCAGGATGCGTACGCTATCCCTAGATCCGGCTCGGTCTTCAATCTCCTTCGTGACTAATGCCAGTTCAGGTCCATGAGTATCTACAGCTTCCTCATCGCTGTCCGCTCCGACGGTCAGCAGCTCATGAATGAGACCGGAGAGACCACATCACACCTGATGGGAATGTTCTATCGCACGCTAAGAATGGTCGACAATGGCATCAAACCTCTATACGTCTTTGATGGCGCTCCGCCAAAGCTCAAATCGGGAGAATTGGCCAAACGTTTTGCCCGGAGAGGCGAGGCGACGGAAGCGCACGAGGAGGCCAAGGAGACGGGTACTGCAGAGGACGTAGAGAAATTCTCTCGTCGCACAGTACGAGTCACCAGGGAACACAATGCAGAGTGCAAGAAGCTTCTGAAGTTGATGGGCATCCCGTACATTGACGCCCCGACGGAGGCCGAGGCACAATGCGCGGTGCTTGCGCGTGCTGGCAAGGTCTATGCTGCCGCTTCAGAAGATATGGACACGCTGTGCTTCGAAACACCCATTCTTCTGCGTCACTTGACATTTAGTGAGCAGAGAAAGGAGCCTATTCAGGAAATTCACCTAAGCCGTGCGCTGGAGGGACTTGGCATGGATCGCAAGCAGGTATATCTCCCACACAAACCTCCATGATCATTCCGCACTTGCTTACCCTTCCACCAGTTCATCGACCTCTGTATCCTACTCGGGTGCGACTACCTGGAACCCATCCCCAAGGTGGGTCCTAACACGGCACTGAAACTGATTCGGGAGCACGGGACTCTTGAGAAGGTGGTTGAGTTCATCCAGAACGACCCCAAGAAGAAATATGTCATTCCCGATGATTGGCCGTATCAGGATGCCAGAGAGCTTTTCCTCAATCCTGACGTACGGGATTCCAACCACCCCGACTGCGATTTCAAGTGGGAAGCGCCCGACGTGGAGGCCCTTGTGAAATACCTGGTTGAAGACAAAGGTTTCAATGAGGACCGGGTCCGCAGCGGTGCTGCCCGCCTGCAGAAGAATCTCAAAACCGCGCAGCAGTCCCGTCTGGAGGGATTCTTCAAACCAGTAGCCCGAACGGATGCGGAGAAGGCCAATCTGAAGCGCAAGCATGATGAAAAGATTCAGGAACAGAAGAAGCGCAAGAAGGATGAGGCTAAGGCTAAAAAGGAGGCCAAGGCCAGACCCCGTGGCGCTGGCTGATTGATGGACTACCCATTATGAAATCTAATTCGAGAGCCCCGAGGTTGGGCGGGAAGGAGGGAAAAAGCGAAGGCACTCATTGAGTTCCCATGTGATCGACACAATCAAGGGGAAACCTGATATATCGCGTCTCTGGGAGAGTGCCTTGATTTGAAGCTTGGCGGCGTTCTAAGGCTCTGGTTATCGCAAACATGGCAAGGCGTTTATATCGGTGGGGATGCGCTAGCATAGCATTATTACTTATTGATGATGAATTTACCTTGTTCGCTACGGGTGGTCGCATAGTACGTATATACACGGTGTGGACTATAATGTAATGTAATGACCTCGGATGCTTGGGACAGGTCTCACACCCGCATCGACTAATGGGGTTCAACCCCGCCGTAGGAGGTAAATAAAGCCAGATGGAATAGCAGTACCTACCTTTATTGCACCAGGGAGCTGTCAGGCTCAGCACAACCATCGTAAATCGAGCTGGATGCTCGTTCGTGGAGCCAGTCGTGAGCTTGGAGAAATCAAGCTGGTTTGCTTTGTTCTCCGCGATGCGCAGGTGGTATGATGACAATTCCCCGACAATGGTGGGGTCACGCGATCCCCGATCTTTTGGGCATGTAGTTTGAGAGAGTGTTGGGTATGGAATCGACAGAATTATAGCGCTTGATTTGTTTGATATAGTCCATGATGAATGTACTCCGTGCTCATCTTTCAACATGTATTTTTCGAGAAGCTCGTTGGTGGTGCGCTCACCCAGGATGTCCATTAGAGAATATATATCTCATCCGTTCGAGCTATTCGGACTGCTACGGTTGTTTGCATAACCCAATGCCTTGCTCCTACTGTACATGCAAGAAGTGCGAGCAAGAAGACGAAAGAGAAAGAGGAGTCCCCAGAAGTTCACTTCGTACATAAACCATGCGATAGCAGGGGAAAACTGTTGGTTGGCGTTGTACGGGTAGATTCTGGCCGAACCGCTTCATGCCTTGAAGTCGACACCACAGCCTACACGGAGTGATAATACTTTCCCTTGACACCATGGCAGCGAAGATAGAACACAGTGAAATGAGAGTCGATTACACATTTGGTCTAAACCTTCAAGGGTGAGAGTCTCGCTCCGATCACCGCTCGTAGGGTATGTATACCCATCGTGGCGCTCACCCCATAATCCTCAATCAATTTACAAGAAGACACAGCACATCCTCCCTCACAGTCACACCCCATCCATATACCACATATCTGAAGAGTTCGGTTCATTCAATCGGGGAAGAACCAAATAGGCCCACCGACAGCTCATATTCCAGCACGAGCGCCTAACCACCAACTGTACGGATAAGGAACCACGGATGCAAGACGATCGCTCGTCGGATCCCAAAGACAAAGCCTTGCACCAATAGGTCAATCTCTCAGGACCTCGACTATGACCTACCCTTTTCGAGTTCTGCTTACAATTGATTCGAGGGAAATTGCCCAGAAGAAGAAATTGGAGAAAGGAAAAAAAGGAAGGGGGGTGCTGTGGGAGAAGAAAGCGAAGGTTGGGAGTGCATAACATCATCTCCTCCCCCTCGTGACCTTCCCAAGCCTCCTCCGCACGAGGAGATCAAGTGGAACAATGAACCTTCCACGCGCTCCCTATACACCGTTTCGAAGCCACTGGACCCAGCTCAATGGATGCAAGAGATGCAAGGGGCCGACCAGTAACTGCAGTTGGTCGGACTGTGAAGCATCATATCTGCCATCTAGCTCCATGAGCTTGATTGAACTGCAGAGGAAAGGTTGGGGTGATACCGATGGGCATCATCGGGAGTTGCAGTGACATCCCCACACGTCACCAACCATCGACTAGAAGAATTTTGGAGTTACTACGTAAACTCACTAGCTGAATAGACCTAGAGGAGATAGATAGTACAATAGTTCTCCAAATGATGGATGATAGGTCGGAATGCGACGGGGTGGTGGAAATCAGGTTGCAAGATCGAAAGGTGGGAAAAGCAACACAACATCGCGGCCCGCTGGGATCAAGAGTTTTGGCTGATAACAGCGAATAAATCCCTTCGGGAAAGATTTAAAACCACCTCAGGCGGGAGAAGACCCGTCGACAATGCATAACCGCTAATTTGAAGGCCAAAGAAGGTAGGTGAAGGGGGAAGATAGAGGGGGCAAAAGAACGCGTCAAGGTTGACAGCAGTCGGATCATGCGCGTGAAAAGAGAGAGAAATCGCAGGTTGAGAGGGAATGCTGATTACTCCAACCCTAGAACGCAGCTCTTGATCTTTTCACTGATAAAACACATCTACTTTACCATAAGCAAAACTACCAAAATATATTAGATGAAGATTAGAAAAGGAAGGAAAGAGATAGAGAAGATCATCATAAAAATCCATAGAGAGTGAAAAAAAAATAAAATCAGCAAAAAGAGGAGAATTACTTTTGACGTGTTGTGCTCGTCTCGTCTCGTTTCTGAGAGCAGCGCAGAGCAGACAGACAGAGGGTGATCCTGTGTCAACACCCGCTGCCCTATAAAGCGCGGATGCCCCGCGGCCCTTCCACCCCTTCCCTCGTCGATTGCTTTTCTTCTCTTCTGCCACAATTCTCCTCATCTCCCACCCCCCTGCTTGAAGCTGACGTTTGTCGAGACATCTCCTGTGTCTATTAAACATCTTTCATCATCTATCTGACTCCTCTTTCATCAACTTCTTCCTTTTCTCCTAACCAAAATGCCTCCCAAGAAAGCTACCTCCACCGGCGCGACCAAGAAGTCCGGCTCGAGCCACGCCTCTTACCGTGGTATGTTTTGACTGATCTTTCCCCACCACCACCTCGCGCTATCTAGTTTCTAGCTTCATTCTTGTCGCGAATGACTGCTGATTCGATTAATATAGATATGATCAAGGATGCTATCCTGAATGTGAGTTGATCACGTTGTTCCCGGTGCGCTGTGGGATCACGGGCGCTGGGTGGGAACTTCCGCGACCGTGACACGTCGTCACGGTGCTTAATTGTTCCCAACGCCCCATCAGGCACCGTCTTGTTCCATCCTAGCTGGATCGCTAACATCTATTTAAACAGCTCAAAGAGCGTAACGGTAGCAGGTAAGCTAACTCGTGTTTCCCTGATCACCGCCAGACGCAGGGTCCCGCCCGTCCAGCGACGTGGCAACCCGACACTGCGTCTCTGTCGCGATTAAAGCTAACCCGCTCCTCTCCTCTGCCCTGTAGCCGCCAGTCCATCAAGAAATATGTTCTGGCCAACAATAAGATTGCTCCTGCTTCGCAGGCTGCTTTCGACAGCCAGTTCAACAAGGCTATTAAGGCTGGTGTTGAGAAGGGCGAATTCACCCAACCCAAGGGTAAGTCCACCATCTAGTCGCGCGCCTCACTTGCAACCCTCGCCTCGCCCAACAGTGAAGGTTGCATCTACGCTTGCTCTGCACGCGTCTTTGTTTATCGCTCCGACACGCCTGCTGACGCGTCTTATCTCCAGGCCCCTCTGGTCCCGTGAAGCTTGCCAAGAAGGAAGCTGCCCCTAAGCCGGCTAAGGTGAGTGACCACCGCATCCCCCCAACTGACCTAGATGACTGACTCCATGACAGAAGGCTTCTGCTAAGACTGCTACTAAGAAGACTACCGCCAAGAAGAGCGAGAAGGCTGAAAAGTCCGAGAAGACCGAGAAGACTGAGAAGGCCGAGAAGCCCAAGTCTACCGCCAAGAAGGCCACTGGCACTACCACCACCAAGAAGTCGGTTGGCAGACCTAAGGCCAACACTGCTAAGCCTCGCAAGGCCTCGACCACTGTAAGTAATGCTGTGTTTGCCCCCGCCCCCCTTTCTCTCCGCGCTGGGTGCTGATTTCCACGCAGGCCCCGGCCGTTGTCGATCAACCTAAGGTCACCAGCACTACCAAGTCTGGACGCGTGACCAAGACAACGGCCAAGCCTGCTGCGAAGAGCAAGAAGTCTACTACTGCAAAGAAGGAGAAGGCTGCCCCCGCCGCTGCCGCCGCCTCTGCCTAAGGGAATTTCTTTGCAATCGTTTTGAGCGACCAGTTACCTTTGATCATTTTGGCCCGTTTCTCTGTTTGCGATGTGTCCTCGGGGTTATATCTTTTGGGTTGTGTCCCCTTCCTTCGTTTGTAATTTTTTCTCTCTCGGCCACCAATCTCCTTGAAGGACGGGATGATTGTATCTGGGATATGCTGTGGACTGTTTACTCGGTCGTTTTTTTTTGTTGGTAGGGTCGGCGTCTTGCGGTGGATTTTGCAACGGGATATGTTATTCAATTGCGTGCTATGCTTTGTACGCCAGTCTAAGGACGGGTGTTACGCTTTGGAATGAAACCACTTGTTTAGTTCAACCAGAAACCGTTGTAGTGATTGAAGCGGTCGGGCTGGAAATGGGTATGCGATGCCCAAACCACCATCCAGGGGACATGGACCTGGCTCCGCGAACAAGTCATTCAAGGATTCGATCCACCACTAAGCAATGCCAGTGCCAGTGCTTATTGGCAAAGAAGACTGTCTACCACGCGGAAGGAATGATCTAAGCTTAAATTTTGTGCATATCCACGGGCCCAGGGGGTTGGATGTTCCATCCAGACACCCAGATCAACTGGTGGAGTCTTTCGTGCTCTTACTGGGCTCGGCTGAGGAAGTATGGGAACAACAGTCCAATACGCGATTTACCACGAGGTATGGTCCATACCCTAGCGCGTACGGATGGTGTGTTTTGCTAAACTTTGCACCCAAATTCACCAAAAATAGGAATTACTTTTCAAGACTGGGAGGATGTGGGATTATCCGCTTAGTCAGTCAGACTTTGGGTTAAGTAATCAATCTGACTTTAGTTTTGAACTCCAAAGTCATAACTAGTGCTTGACTTTTTTTTTATTTTGCAGTAATTGTGCTACATTTGAGACATTTGGTGTGTATGTACAGTATGTATACTAGTAGGGCTCGAGGGGTCTAGAAATGCAAAAGGAGCTTGAGCCAGCAAACAAAACTTTTCCCGTC